CTATGCAGAGTACATTCCTTTAAAGTTTGGGTATTTATTAGTCGACCTGAATGTTGCAACATCAATTTTATTGCTATGAACACAAAGCGGATTTATGGTGCAAGATGACTTAAATAGAATGTCGTTTAATATTGAGGTTGCCAACGTAGTAAATATGAATAAGAACATTATGAACTCATTTTAATAGTAAGACATAGTACTACAACAGGTTTTTAAAGAAGCGAAAAGGTGTTTATAAATAAAATAGGAAAAGAAAGGTTAGATGTAAGAATTAACTCGTATCTACCTAACTATATTAGAAAAAATTTTTTTGCTTTGAACTTATTTGCGTTCTAAGTTGGGAGTATAATTATTTTAGTAACAAAATAATTCGGACAATTTGTCATACACATACTCGTAGATGACTCTGGGCAATGTTGCCCAGTCATTTTACTAGAAAACTACCCTATTTTTAGGAAAGTTTTCTAAAAATAGGAAATATTCTATTTATTCATTTATGTTCCTTAAATAAAGTCCTTTTTTATTAAATTCTTGTAACGGTTTTTAAGACTTAAACTTAGAGATCATATTTTCTTAAGAAATCAAAGTGAGCATTGTTGGCTAAAAGTCCTTATACCATTGACTGCCGACGAAATTCTGCAAAGGACATAGCTAAGAAACTGCCTTTAACGTGTATAAATATTTCGCACTAGCCCGTAACTTTACAATATTTTTTTATTAATTATTACGTGTTTATTATTCTCATACAACTTTCGTAAAATAATCAAATATTTAAAAATGTAAAAATTGACTTCATGTCTGTTTAAAATGCAAAATGTTCCGTTTTACTAAATAAATGAACAATAAATGAACATATATTTTTTGTAAATACATCGAAATAAACAATATTATATCTAAACTCCTTAAAACTATGGTCCTAATTTTAATTATAATAAATCACTGAAGGCCTAAAAAATAGATTTTATTATTTTGATCAGGCTTGAGACAAGGCTGTATGATAATTAATCCTTTAATTTTTGCAAATGGACAAAATAAAACTTCAAAGATTTCCTGTCAGGCCGACGATAACAAATTATTTGTATTTATTTTTGCTTTAAAGAAACTTTTTGTGAAGAGTTAATCAGAGAAATGAGAAGAAAGATTCTAAGAAAATGCGGAATTGATGACTCTGTACATAATTGGCAACATCTTTTATCAACTGTAGTAAGGTAATGACATAGTAGGAGTTCTCATAATTTTGAAGATTGTGACTTTATTAAAAGTTCTCTAGTCTTTTTTCATAGAAATTATGAATATTCAGCCATTTACCATTAAATATTACTAAGTACAGTATTTATTCATTGTTAGGGCAGTTGCCCATAAATAAACTTTACCATGTCCTTTCAAATCAAATGTTGAATATTAATAATTTTTACTACATGCTCACGACACTAGTTACAGCTAACAAAAAAAAGCCTCAGGTTGCAAAAGAAAAATGGCAATATTGGCGTGTTTCACGCTATTCTTTTCTCGTTTTAGAGTTACGATAGTTGATCTGAATATTTAACTGAATAATGAATCAAATAGTTAGTTGGAAGACGGTGTCGGTGGCTAAAAGTAGTTACTTATGAATATACTAAATATTTAATGGCCTCCATGACGAAGGACTTTCATCCGCAGACTAACTGTCAATCGAGCGTTATAAAAACGCGTTCTATATCATATCGCGGTGCTAGGTGGCGGAATTGTCAAAAAATGTCCGCTCAAGACTTGTCTATGTCACGGTCTCAATGCACACGGTGTGCAAACATAAGTGTCGCCGACCACAACCACAAAACGCCGCCACCGGCATATTTCTTGTAGTTTTCATACATTTTATATGGATTCGCCACACACGGTACGCCGGCCGCCACACGCTACAAATCGTCGCCACACGTCACTCGCGCGAATCCCCACCCCTCTCTCCTTTACCTTAGTCGGCCGCTGTCGTGTATTCGTTACTTTCACAATTAGTACTCGTTACTATAGTATCGTTACGTTACTCATTACTTCTCATAAAAAAATCGGTTTTACTATTTTGAAATTTTTAACCGTGAGCTTTTGTTATATCACAATAACATCGCAATCCATTATTCATCAATTATAATGATAAAGCAACAAATAGGTATCGAAAATTATTGTATTTATAATAATACTTAAATAGCATTCTAACGATAAATCAACATAAATATAGTTTTGCTTAGAATGAAATTAAACATAACGAAAGAAAGAACTACATCAAAACTCTTTTGTTCTCAAAATAAAATTATAAAAAAATAAAAATATTTTAAACGAAATCTATCAAGTTGGCTTTTTCGATAAGCTTCAGTCAACACGACAATAAAGTTCTCACGTCCATTTGACCGGAATAGCGTATATTTTAACGATTCCACTAATTCTTCAGTAACGCAGACGGTTGTAACACAAAATCACACCAATTTTATTTCACAATATCCACTATGAACGAATTTAAGAATAATTAAAATAAGACGCCAACCGCACTCGATGAAATCCCTCTAAAAACTCCAAAGTACGTTTTTAAATTCTCCGAATATGCTCGCGCATGCTTAAAACGTACGATCAGCAAATGTTTCTATACACACATCAACTGTACTTGCGTAAACTGAAACATATAGATAGTAATTTCCTTGAGAGGGCACTCTTTTCCCATAATATAAATACTACTCTTTGTAGATAGTCATACTACGAAAAATGCGAGTTACGAAATTTATTTGTGTGTAACGTTTCGTTACTCGGTACTAGATGGCGCACCCGTTACTCAGTACCGAATACATACGGTTTGCTACAGCTCTACTGTCGTGCGCTTCAGCCACTTTAGTAGCCGCTTCTAGCTTCTCGTGGCGGCTTTTGTGGCTGTGGCGTGTGGCCCGTGTGCGGCGACACTAAGATACCCGAAAATTTAGAGCTATGGAAATAAATATTTTAAGTAATTAACATGAAGTAGAAGACGTTGGTGGAGCTCGATGGCGCAGGTGGCTAGCGCGTTCGACTGCGATCGTTGAAGTTAAGCAACTTTCGCAATGGTCGGTCTTTGGATGGATGACCAAAAATCTTCTATCTCGAGTTCCACCGTGTTTCGGAAGGCACGTTAAGCCGTTGGTCCCGGCTGCATCTGCAGTTGTTAGCACCCGCCAATCTGCACTGGGCTCACGTGGTGGGTCATGGCCCTATTCCATCCATGGGGACATTAATAGGCTGATGATGATGACGATGATGATAAAACACTTCCATTAAAAGTGTTCAGAATTACACAGGTGGCAGCCTTATATACGATACCCAATTTTACTAATAAACTTTCAGAAAACATGCCACTTGGCAACTCCACACGACGTCTTATTAATGAAATAGTAGTTAAGATTTATTTCATCATCATCATCGACCCATACTCGTCCACTGCTGGACATAGGTCTCTCCTAATGCACGCCACTGCTCCCGATTTTCTGCCACTCTCATCCAGCCCACTCCAGCTAGCCTACGAATGTCATCATCCCATCTTGTCTCAGAGCGTCCCACACTACGTTTACCGAGTCGCGGTCTCCGCTCAAGAACTTTACGGCTCCATCGGCCGTCAGTTCTGCGGTTAATGTGATAAGCCCACTGCCACTTCAGTTTGCTAATTCGGTGGGCTATGTCGGTGACTCTGGTTCTCTGTCGGATTACATCATTTCTGATGCGGTCCTTCAGGGAAACTTGGTACAATTATTCTTTATACTCCTGGGCAGGTTATAGTATACTTTTCATCACGCTACAATCAGTAGCAGCAGAGTAGTGAAGGGAAATGTTGGGAAAACGGGAGAAGTTACTCCATTTTTTAAGCTTCCGTCGCGTGTGCAGTCTTAATAGTTAAAGTCACATAGAAATCATGTATGACGGAAATATTCTACATAAAATTGTCTAAAAAATATTTCGCAACAGCATATGTCTATCTTTTATGGTTGACTCACAATAACACGTGTAATTATATAAATAAAGTTATTGTTTATAGCACAAGCCTGAGAACAAAAACTATAGTTTACACTACAGCTCTACACCGAAGCGAAGCGAGGGCGGGCCACTAGTAATAAATATTTTATTTTATTTTATTTGAACACTCACACCAATTAGCCTAGCCCCAAAGTAAGCACTATAAGGCTTGTGTTATGGGATACTAGGGTAACGGATAGAATACATATACTTTACATATATAAGTATATTTATATAGAAATACATATTTAACATCCATGACTGGAGTACAAATGCTAGTGTTCATCACACAAACATCTGCCCCACCGGGATTCGAACGCGGGACCTCTCGAGTCGGCGACGCCATGAAACCCGGCGTACAAACCACTCGGCCACGGAGGTCGTCTATATAATAATATGGTAATTATTTTTTTATCACTAATTATCCTTCAACCAAAAATTGTTGGGGCGCATCTTCGTGGATTGCACTATCTGTAGATACAAATGTTTATTCATCATTAGATTAAAATACTTTTTCACTTGTTTTAATTACGGCCAACTTAATAAAGTTCGTGGCATGTTTATTGGCTTGTTTTACTGCTACATTGGTTCTCTTCTGAATTAATTTCGTTATACCTTAACACCGTTGAAAACCTTTATTTGACCTTTTACCTGAACCGCCGTCTTTACCGTAATTCAAAATACAGTAAATTATAAACTATTTTTAAGTACATAAAAATATCGTTCAAGTCATATCATCAGTTATTATGATAGACAAACAATGTAAGTAATTTAAAGGTATTATTTTAATTTCTAATGATACAATAAAAATATAACAGGAAATCCACTTTCTATTTACTGAATTGTATTCAGAAAAAAAGCAAAGACGGAGAAACCTAAACAAACTGAAAGCGGTATTCATTAACTCATTCTCTTTAAAAGCACGATCTTACGGGAAAGCTGTCTAATACATAATCCGCCCGCCCAACTCACGCCCGATTCGCCTGCCGCAAACGCTACACCTCTATACGTGTATAAAGCAGCACAAATTAGTGACATTTAAAAGAGCAGCGATCTTAGTGCAACAAGTAACCGGCCGCCCGCCCGCCCGGCGAGCGAGGGGCGGGCGGGCGGCAGTAACGTCGCGACTATGGCCACGAACGGACGTACGAAGCGTTCTCAGTCGATATGTGCGCCGGCTTCCGCGAGTATGGAGGCGCTCGCGGCGCCGATGGAGACCACGCCGGCGCCGCGCCGTCGCCCCGCCACGCGTTCCCAGTCCGCCAGGATCACCGGTGGCCGCTCCGTCCGCCAGCGACGACAGCAGCAGCAGCAGCAACTCGACCGGGAGACCAGAGCTCGCTATAGCTCTGAACCTCGACTCGCCGAAACGGAAACTCCACCGCAAGTCCGCAGGCAGGCCTCCGCCCGCCGCCGCCCGCCTCCCGGCCAGCACAGCCAACCGCGACGCTCCAACGCCTTCCTCGACGTCCCTCGCAACACGCTCCAGCCTGACGAGGAACCAGACGAGGACTCCTACCGACTCCGCACCTTCAACATCACCCAGAAAGGAGGTCAGTCCGCGTTCGTTCACCTCCGAGTATATTCGTAAAAACTTTCTCGCGAGAAACTTGGCAGGCGCGCCGGCCCCGCGCGTGTGCCAGTCGCGGCGCGATGAGTTTTCAAGTGTCGATTCTGGATTTCTGCGTAAGCGGAAGATCGGGTCGGAGACGCAGATCGAGAAACACGGTTAGGTTCGTGATCGTTAAAAGCTTTCTGCGCTATCGTGAATCATGTCGGAGCGCACGCGTTTACGAGGCCACCATAAATCAGTCACGGTACGGTTTTGGTTTACTTTTGAGGTAAAAATAAACCTGGTCGGTCGGTGCGGTCGCCGCCGTCCTTTGGAAGTTCACGAGGCGTGCCTAAGTTTGCAGTGAAAAGTTGCGAGTTAGTGGAAAATCCATGTGGCGTTAGCGTGTGTGTAGTCGTTGGGTCGGAGTTAGAAGTTTTCCGACCAGTCTGGCGATGTTGTTTATCAAAATGACGGGCATAAACAAAAGCCCCGTCGCATCTGTTTAGCATAATGCACGTGAATAGACGCCTCTCTCCGCTGTCTAGATATACCGGCGTCCTTATTAAACTAGTTTGATTGTAGTCGTGGCGCGGACGTCGCGACTGGCGAAGTTTGCATATCTATTTTACTTATTCACTAAGGGATTTCTTGTGTTCTTATCTACACAAGAATAGAATTTGCATAGAATAAAAGCATTGTCTTCTCCAAGCTGTGAGACTGACCCGAAAATTTAACGGAAAACGTGACAGAAATACTGAAAAGCGTTAGAGAAATAGCCTTCTTATTTGCCAAATGAAATTTGCATAGTATTAAATACGAGAACGTTTTACCCTTTCTCAATACGTATAGTATTCTTAGAAAACAAAGTGTATTTTCTTTCAGTAAATATACTGAAGTAAAACGTACCTTGTGTTTTATCAACCAACGAAAAGTAACGAAGAAAAATATCGTGATTTCTTAAAATCATTCAGGTTCTTATCAACTCAAACTAATTCAAACGCAAACTCTAATTCAAATCAATTACAGTTGGTGAGCTTTATAATGAAATAATAAATCATTTGACATGGTTGTGTAATATGCACCTCAGGGTAAGCATTAGTTATTATTCCGAGATATGTACATAAATCATAACGTTAAACCTACAAAAACCTTAAGTAAATATTACCTTGAAAGCACTAAAGTTCCGTGAAACGGAAGAGCAAACAGTTTGTGTTCCAGTAGAAACAAAGTATAATCAATGAAATACTGTTTAATCAAAAACTAAACTAACTTCGGTGAGTTGAGAGTCAGTTTTAGGTGAGTTTAATTTTACTCACCTAAAACTGAGCTTTCTTCGACATTGAATAAAGTTCATAGAAATTAAAATATCAATAATTTATCATTTTGGATTCGGTGCCACGCTAATTTAAGTAGTAACTTAAACACATAACATTTATCAAATCAATCATATCAATCAAATGTGTATGTGGTGCTGTACTCATCAGATCTACACTAAATTTTAAAAATGGCAAAAATGCAAAATCACCATCGCAATTGATCCACACATCTCGGCGTTATGCGCAAACAATAATATCACATCCTTTTATTATTATTAAAGTGAAAGTTTGTAAGTCTGTGTGTTTTGTTATTCAATCACGCAAAAACAACTGAACGTCAATACGTTCGTAATGAAATTTGGTACCTGCGCATATTGTTTATGATCTGGATTGTGATATCGGCTTTTTTATTCCTGAAAAGTTTTAGGTTCCTGTGGGATTCTCAAAGACCAAAGTTCACGCTAGTACTTAATGAACTGCTCGATAAACTTTTCCTTTTTGAAGTCGGTAAGAAAATGAATGATTCTGTCGTTATTTAAGGCGACCCTCATCATTGGCAATGTAGGGATGACCAACAACCCCAGGCCCCTACGTTTACGTCAAGACCTTGCCTAATTATGCGGGTTCTATCGTCAATGTTTCTTAGCTCCTATTTTTTCTTATAAACATTTAGTTTCCTTCTTAAGAGCGGAATCGCTGTATTTTTTATGGTGCCATGTTAATGATGGATATCGTTCGCAAACAAAGAAATTTGATTTACTCTGATGCACTATTAGATACAGAACTAGCAAACCAGTGAACCAAATGTTCATCAAAACCTGATTTCTCGAAAACCGGAAGTGCTACGTTACTCAAATCCGGTTTGTAGTCTTATCAGACTATTCTTAACTTATAACTTAAATATTCTCTTTACTATCTCTTACGGTTTGGCCGCTGAAACAGCACCACAGACAGACGGACGGATTTGTCTAATAGATAAGAAGATTTTTTCTGTACAGATACCTACAATTGACTTCTTGTGTTCTTAAGAATTTCGGAGTTACTGTTATTTCTTAGCGCATGATTATTTTAATCCTTATAATAGAGGAAGTGTTATTGGGTAATTTTCAAATCATTTACTAAAGACCTTGCAGTTTTAGATACGTTTGCATGGAAAATGGTATGCACCAGCAGTAGGTTTTGCGGCGTTTATTCACACCTGATCAACTGTGCTTGTTGTATAAAACGCAAGTGCGGTCCTGCGTGGAATATTGCTCGCACCTTTGGCATGACTCCGCTAAGTACTCACTTGATGCCTCGGATAGGTTGCAGCGGCGCTGCCCGCATCATTGGCGATGAAGAGGTAACTATAACAAGCTCGAGTCTCTACAATTACGCCGTGATGTGGCATCATCATTAAGCTCGTTCTACCGACTATACTACGGAGAGTGTTCTGAGGAGTTATTCTCCTTATCCTTCCATCACCTTTTATTCAGAGGACCACGCGCGCTAGCCTACGTTGTCACCGACTTACTGTGGTCACTATTCCGACACGAACAAAGAAATATGGTGACTCATTTCTTTGCCGTACTATTCGTAAGTCGAAATCTTTGCCCACGCACGTGTTCCCTCCTTCCTACAATCTGGGAGTGTGAAGAAGCATTTTTGTAGACCGGCAAGGTGAGGATAGTTGGTGTGGCAGTTTATAACTGCTGTACTAGCTATCTTCGCGTTTGGATTTTATCACCACTTAACATCAGGTGGGGTAGAGTCATTTGTCTACTTGGCTAAATATAAGAAAGGTAGTATAAAATGAGTACCTATGCACACCAGAATGCGTTGTACTGCGTCCAATAAGCAATTTCTGTCGTTCGTAATGGTACAAATTGAATTTGAACGCACCGCATCTAAAGTGCCCTTTGTGTGGTCAACAAAATTGATTTGTGTATGTCATCTTTTTGACGTCATAATGTTGTATAAATCGATGAACACCGGCTGCATGCACGAAAAAGTGTCACGTTCCGCGTGAGCCTGAGTGTGCATGAGAGAGCGCGGAACAAGCGACAGAGGGGCACGATCGGCTCAAGCGTCGGCTTGTACACATTTATCTCTCTTCTCGTGTGACGTCAGAGCTACCAATTATGCAAGTTTTCATCAAAGTTTCTTTATGACGTTATCACGTAAAACTAGAGTCCGTTACAGACAACCATTTTTTTATGTGGCAGGGAAACATACCGTCCGCTTCATGTTAAGCGGGTACTATGGACTAGGCCTGTTATAGGCAGGGTGTCGAGTCTGCTAAGCAAACGTAAAAATCGTGTCTCAATAGTAATTGAACAATATCGCTTTTTGACACAGTTCCCGTAACTAAAACATAGATTAACAAATGCATACACATAATTATAACAATTAATGAGTTAGCAAATACTTTTATTGTTTTGAGTTTAAGTAACAAATTAATCAAGATTACAAGGAGGTCTGAAATAGCGAGATTGCGCGATTTAGTATGAAGTGGGAAGACGTATAATGAAACATCAAATGTTTATAAGTAATGTGTTTGTGAAATTTAATGTCTACATTGAGAGATTTGTATAAGAATGCGTAAAATTATCACTAAGATGAAAGCTCGTTAGCGTCTGTTCGCAGAATTCATAAATGAAGCTTATTTTAGATATGTCATACAAACGTCACCATTTTGAATCCCCACGTGAATAACACTCGCGTTGCCGAACTTGTGAAAACTTAGCACACAGTCGTCGACCCTGTAAAAACTTTTTGACACATTTTTGGAAGAAACCCATGCTGCATTCCTTTGGGAAAACCTGAACGAAGAGAACATTGGACAGTTTAATCGTACGCTGGGCACAAGTTCGAAATTGTGAGAATAAACCCTCCGTCGACGGCAATCCGTATGAAACGACAAAGGTTGTATATTATATCAAAAAGTTATTCAGAGCACTTTCCATGGTATACATAGGGTAGAAAAAAAATTTAAACCCACATAAATAAAACTAGTTTTCTCGGGTTAATGCACGAAACTTTATTTATTTATTGACGTTTAAACTCACATAATTAGACAAAATCTCCTCTTGAAACTTATGTCCCTGAGCTACCGACCGTTTACTATTTTATTTTTAATCATTTAACTGAAAAAGAAGTCCGCGTTAAATTTTTTCTTGTAATATTTTCTTTAGACTTTAAACATCTAGCAATTCAATGCTAAAAAAAGACGGGTTGCACTCCGGGAGTGCCGGCAGAAGTGAAAACTTGAATATTAACGTTGTGCATTTTTGATATTTTGGAATGGTTAGGGAATAATTTTGCACGAATTGCTTTAATTATCAGTATAAAAGTACTATCATGTATGCGGTAGAATACAATATTTATTTATTACGCTATCGTACACAAACATATAAATTTATATTACATTAAAAAAGTTTGTCACTCAGAAAAATCAACTTACATGAATCACGTGTAAGCGCACTTAGCGACATCTATTGTAAAAAAATGCATTTTCTTCGCAATAAAGCGGCCACGTGGACGTCCTAGATAGAAACTTATTATTATAATACAATAAAATAAAATATTACTATGTTTCGTCCAATATATTGAAAGTCAAGAACCTTTCCAATTTTATTGTGTGTCATGATACGATCAGCCCGCGTGTTTAACCTGAAGCGAGTTTAACATTTTTTACCCATACAAAAAAAAGTGTACAACGCCGCTAAAGAAGTTTTCACTTCAAAAAATAAAATTATGATCTTACATTTTTTCGCCTAGCTACCATACCGTCCGAAAAGGTACTTCATTTCGCTTCAGGTTCCAAAACCACTCTGTTTTGTTTTTAAAAATCCGCCACTAAAATATTATTTCCTCTTAAAAT